GACACCTAAATAATGGGGCACTTATCCACACTAGGTATTTACAGAAGTTCTGTTCCCCGGGATTTTTAATAACAAAACCTCCACTCAGATCTGCTTCAAAATTACTAATTTTATAGACCTAGAAAAATAGTCCACATCGGAAATCAAAACCAACACATTCAAGTTAAGTTTATCTAAGAAATTCAGCAGTTGCAATCACAACAGAAGCCCCTCATTATTTATGACCTTTGAGCATAAGAAAGCATCACTTACTTATATCTATTAATTCATCAATAAATTAAACTGGCACAAGGAACTGTGTAGCAAATGCGCACACAGCACTTATGCAGTGCCTGTATTATACAATTACATTACCAAAGCAGTTCTTTTCCTCTTTCCCAGTTACCTGAGAAATAGAACATTCTGTGAACGTCCCTTCTCCTCCCCTCCATGTTTTTTTTTGTCTTCCTGCTTAAAGCACAGTGGCTTATCTGAAATGAAAAATCCAAGGAAAACCTCTGAGATTTTTTAGAAAGGTTTTTGATTAAAATAATAGGTAGGCAAGATGTGCCACAAGAATGAAGGAAGAGGACACCAGATGTAAGAAATTACAGAAGGAGTTTTTAATTAGCAAAGGTACAAAGCAATGGAAGGCAGATGGTGACAATATTTTTCAAATTCCTGCCTCGGGAAATATAAATATATATATATTTGTATTTTCACAGCCTCTCCTGCTAAACTAGGAATCTGGAAAACAAGGAGATAGAGGAAGACTGAATACCCCATTGTGCTTCATTAGGAAGACAAATGAACTCTTTAGAAGAAAGATGAGACTTTACCTTAGACAGAGCAAGAGAGGAAGCCACAAGGGATATGGTGTATGTTCTTAAAGCAACTTGATCTTAGTGCTTGTGAAAATAACCCTCCTTAAGAGAACTGCATCATTACTGCAGCTGATTCTAAGGGCAAGTTTTATAGCTCTGCCTGATAATGACATTAGATCTGTAATCTCACTTAGCTAACTGAAAGAAAAGGGTGAGAATATTTGTCAGATGTTCCCTTAGAACAAAAATGCTTTTTGCTCACTTTCTAATTTGTAGAAAAGCTGTAACCTTTAGAGAAGATGCCATCATAGTTGTCAAATTCTAGGCTGACCTTCCCATTTTTGTAGCATCATAGTGCAATGGAGAAAGGATAGCTAGCTCAGGAATTATGGAATGCATTGAAACAGCTTTTCTAGCATAGAGTTTTTAAAACTTGAATAAATTGTTTCCAAGATGTCTTTTTGTCATCTTAAATAATTTTAACTTATTGTATTTGCTCTTCTATACAAGCAGAAAAGTATGTCACCAGTGAACAGGTTCAAGTAACAATTAATGATAACTTTGGCTTGGATGCAGGAACTCAAATTCAAATCTTCAAATTTATGTGTTATTGGATGAATTCCATGCCAGCACTTATAATACTTTGTGGTTTGTTTCAAAGGGACAGGGAAAACAATGATAGGCAAATTGTGTGATAAGGTGAGTAAAAAGACAATGGACAGAAATAGTCATAGTTAGGAGTGGAAATAAAGGAATACAAAGAAAGGCAGTTCCACAACTGGTGGCAATAGTTATTATAAAATAAACATGATTAATCTGAACCACAACAATCACTCCAAAATAAAGAAAATATAAGCTTTTGTGGTGCATAGCACACTGATAGCTGAAAGTGATGAAAGGAAGAAAAGTGGTAAATAAATTAATAAAATAAATAATCAAATACAAATCAGGATTTAAAAAAACTAGATAAAATAGTTCTTCACATTAATATCTATGTGAAACCAAAGGAATGTCTGTACCAGTTGCAAAACACTAACTCAAATCAAACACCTGATGATGTGCTAGAGCAGGGTTGTCAAACTTGCGGCTCACAGGATGGATGTGTTATGTGCTGATCACGCTCACCCCATTTTAGAGAAAGGGGGAAAAGTCCTGATACATCACATGATGACAACATGATGGCATGAGTTTGACACCCCTCTCCTAAAGCATTCTTATTGGGAAAGGGGCTGGGCAGATTGTTTTATCATATTTTATTTCTGCTGTTTGCTTTAAATAAATGAATTCATTTGTACAGCTGAAGAGCACTTGGCCTTTAATAATCATATATACATACATACATACATACATACATACATACATACATACATACATACATACATACATATAATGTTATATTTGTGCTGATAAATAAATAAAGGGAGACTAGTATAGATCTATTTCAAGCTATTTAGCTCTCATCAGCTAGCCATACCCTTGCTGGGAATCGAACCTGTGCTCTGTTGCCTGTTAGGCAGATGTGTTAACCATTGAGCTACAGAGCTCGACTCCTTATCAGCCAGGCCAGGGTGAAAGGTATATATATGGTTAACACATCTGCCTAAGAGGCAATAGAGCACAGGTTCGATTCCCAGCAAGGGTATGGCTAGCTGATGAGAGCTAAATAGCTTGAAATAGATCTATACTAGTCTCCCTTTATTTATTTATCAGCATAAATATAACATATATATTTTTGTGTGTGTGTGTGTGTGTGTGTGTG